CTAAACCCTAAACTCTAAACCCGAGCCTGCGAACCCATAAACCCCAAACATAAACCCATCTAAACCCGAGCCTCTAAACCCCGGCTAAATCCGTGTAAGCCCAAAACCCCAAAAACCAAAAGTCCTAAGCCCCTAAACTAAACCCAAACCCTACACTCCTCAACCCATGAACCCCTAAACCCTAACCNNCCCCAAAAAAAAACACACACACACACAAAATAAAAAACACACACACACACAAAATCCTAAACCCTAAACCCCGAAACCGAAAAAAAACACAGGTCCTCAAAAGAAGGGACAAGTGGCACCAGGGATGCAGGCCGCTGGGCCGGTGATGTAGCTGACCAGTAAAGTGGCCCCCTTTAGGATCCTCGGGTTTTTTTAGGGCCCTTTGGGGTGGAGTTTTATTGGGTTGCTTTTTGTAAGGGGTTTAGGGCTTTTTGGGCTTAGGATCCTCGGTTTGGAGCTTTTTTGGGTTTAGGGCTTCAGGGGTTTACGGTCGAGGGAGGGTTTCGGGTGTTTTGGGGGTTTAGGGTTTAGGGTGGACGCGTGACGTGTGGTTTGGGTTTCGGGTTTAGGGCAGACGGGGGAGTTGGAGGGGTGGTGGCTTTTGGGGGGGTTTTAATATGTGTGCAGTCAGATTATATTACACAACCCCAGCTCTCCTCGAAGGCTTCTCTTAGTATTAATACTAATAATTACTACTATTATTTCTAATACTAATACTAATATTGATACTAAGACTTATTCCCTCAACTTTGTTCACTCGCTGAGCATCGACTCTTTGATCTTATCCTTGATCCAGTTGGTGTCCAGCTGTGCGCTGATCGGCTTCGGTATCGAGAAGCCTCGACCGTTGCATGGTTAGCCCACAAAGCCGAACATCAAAAGCAAACTTCGTCTTCGTTTCATTTGTTCATGCCTTCTTCAACAACCCCTAAAACCCTAAACCCTAAAACCGTAAACCGTAAACCCTAAACCCTAATCCGTTCAAGAGTTGGGCTTACAGGGTTTCGGAGCATCCTCTGGAGAATACTCTGGATGGCTAGGCTTTCGAACTATCTCCGTGTCCTGGCAAGCAGATCGTGCCTTGAATGTCGATGTCCGCGAACAAGTTCACGGCCGCAGCTCCGCACCTCTCTTAATCAACAAATACTAGCCCTATTACGAGTTTTTCAATGCAGATCCCAAACAGAAGTTCCCTAAACCCTAAACCCTAACAAAAGTTCAACAAGTCTAAAGCTCTCCCATCTTGCAGGAGAAGACGCATGTCGATGCGGTTCACGCGGCTGGTATTGGAAGTGACGGCTGTCCTCGGGCCAACCCCTCCCAGAACTCTCACAGAACCTGGATTGAAAGCTCATATAGGACCCCTCAAAAAGAACCCCTAATCTTCTAGGCCTCTTTAACCCTATATAGAACCCTTTTAAAAAGAACCCCTAATTACATAGGACCCCTATATAGAACCCTTTAACACGAACCCCCAAGGAGGACCCCAAACCCTAAATCCCTAAAGCCTAAACCCTTTAAAGCCCTAAAACCCTAGAACCCTAAAACCTAAACCCTAAGCCTCTCCTGGACTCCACCGCCTGGGTCTCTGCAAGGGAATTGCCGGAAGAAAGTCGCAGCGTTCCCTGGGCCCGAACCTGGAGGGTTTCTAGGGGTTTTTTTAGGGGCTTAGGGGGTTATTAGGGGTTTAGGGCCTTTAGGGGTTAAGGGGTTTAGCGGTTCAGGGGTTAAGGAAGGCTTTCTTTTGGGGGAGCCACTACGGGTACTTTCAGGGTACCAGTAAGGGTGCTCTGCGGCTTTTCTTAGAAGGCTCTATCAAAAGGTGCGATGAAGGGTTTAGGAGCTGGTGAATTGGTGGCTTCAGCTTTGAAGCTTGATGGGCTTTCTGCCCTTGATGGGAACCGGTGAATTAATCTCCTAGTAATCGTAATTTCAAGCTTCAAGGCTTCAGGGTCGAGGGTTTCGGGGCTCTGGTCAAGTAAAAGAGGGGTCTGCGGGTCTCGTATAGAAGGAAATTATAGTCAGCCTCCGCTGAAGCGAGGGAAGGCTCGCAAGCACAATCGGTTTCCTCTCACACTCGGTTTCCAGCCTCCCTGGTCATCATCCAGAGGAGTTGAACTTTATAAACTATTATCATATATAGCTATAGCCATAGCTGTGGCTGCTTGTAAACTTGCCTTGATTTGGGGAGGTGTTTCTTTTTGGGCCCTGGGCCTTGCGGGATGGACACCCCCCCAGTTGACCCTTTACCTGCAAAACTCTGCACCTCTGCGTTGAACATGGGGTTGATGACGATCGGAACGCCAGGCATGGGCCAAACCTCGCGAGGCTTTCTCATGAGTAAACAGCTACAGGTTCAAGTTTGAGGCTGAGCTTGGACCTAAACCCTAAATCCCTATAAGCCTTATAAGCCCTAAACCCTATACTCTACGATGGCCCGAAAGCCTCCCCAGCCTCAACCCCTGACGCTCCAAAGGAGGCGACTACAAGGGGAGCTGAAAGAACGCCTGTAACTCTCTGGGGCTCCTCTACGCCCCGGATTGCGGAGAAAACGCTCGAATCTCCGGGGTCGCGGCGAAGGTCGCTGGTAGAAAAAACGATCGTCTAGATAGTAGTTGTTCTACCCATGTGCTCCCATGCACTTTAAGCTCTTGGGGATGATCTGGTAGGGTCGAGATGTGGAGCTCGTCCATGGTGGCTGCTTCTGACTAACAAGTAGAGCTTGGACATCGGCCAAGTAGGCCTTGGCTCGGGGAACAAACCCCTGAGCTTTAAAGTCTCTAAAGCCTAAACCTTGAAAACGACGCCCAAAGGCCTGAACAAAACAGCTAACCCTCGACACTATACTCTAAACGCCCTCAACGTTGAAACCTTAAACACTAAACTTGGCCGGGCCGCTGTCAGTACCGGACCCATGCCGACTCGGACGCTGCCGAACGCCGACGCTGCCAGGCCAAAACCCTCCTTCGAGCAGGAGGGGGAGTAGCAGCAGCAGCAGCAGCAGCAGCAGCCGCAGCAGCAGCAGCAGCAGCAGCAGCAGGTGGTGGTGGTGGTGGTGTAGCAGGAGCAACTGCGGTGGTGACATCACGAAGACCTTGGCAGCAACGGGGTGCAAAAGCAGCAGCAGTCATACTGATATTCGGCTCACTTGCCAGAAACACGACAGTGACGGCTCTAGCCGTTCCCTGAGTGCCAGCAGCTGCCAGCAAAGCCATCGTTCATGTCAGAGGAGCCACAACGAGAACAACAACAAATCCAATGACTACTGCAGCAACGGCAGCTATCAGTACTATGTCTACAACGTATCACCTCGACAAAGACCGTTCCACCTTTGTCCCCCCTCCTCTTCCTCCTCCTCCTACTACCGCGACTACTACTGTTACGACGACTACTACAAGAACGACTGCGACCAACCATGAGGAGGAGCTGTGAGCAGGACTCAGGAACCAAAATGCGATAAGACAACAATAAACATCAACATAACAAAAGCACGGCAAGGAACAAAAATAATAGTATCATTGTCAGACGAAGCAACAACCGCAACAAGGGCAGTTTGATGGCCTACTTAATGGCCCCTCTATTCAGGTACTCTTCTCAGTGGCAAAGACCCAAAAGATCTCAAAGGAAGGACTGAATCCAAAACAATCTTCAACCGCCGGTTCCTGGTGCTTGATGGTCGGGTTCTGGAAGTCGGCGTCGGCGTGGCCCTTCGGGTTCACGAGGACGGAGCCGGAGATCTGAAAATCTGCGCTGGCGCCGACCTCCGAAAGATGTCGCTGCGTTGCTGGGTTCGCGAAGGCGTGATGCCTTTGCCCTGTGTGCGTGTGGGGAATATGTCTGCCTATGCACTTCGCAAGGCATCATCTTGACTTATTCTCTTCAAGGTTTGCAAGAGCGGGCGACTTTCTCAACATCCTAAGGAACCCCGGGCTTCGCGCTTTTTTTTTTGGTTTGGGGGGGCGGCTCTTCATGCCAGTAGCTTGGAAGATTTCAGGTTCAGGACTCACAACATGACGAGTCTTGTATCGTGACAAAAGGCCATGGTATTTTCTGACGAAGCCGCTAGATGTTGCTTTGGTCACAGGTATCAAGAAGAGCACAGGCCACAAGGAGGGCTGAGAGTTTCGGGTCATGTAGATGCCATATTAGGATTATAGCTCCCTACTCGCAATTAGCCTGGATGGCAGTAGCCCCCAGTACTAAAGACCCTTGCAGACAAAGGGATACGTTCGATAACAAATATATTAACAACCAGAAAAATAGGTCCCTGAGCAATTTTGGATATTCCTGGAATCATCATAAGAGTCCCTTTTCAACTTGAGGAGTACTCTTGAAGACGGGTGCCGGCGAGTCCAGGGAACACTCGGCTCTGGCTTTGCTCTGCCAGCCCAAATGCGGGGCATCATGTAGGAAGGTAGGGGCCTTAATAATCAACACGGGGTTCGAGGTTAATTTTGTTGCAGAAGTTATATCGGGACTATAAGGGTAACACTAGCATAGTTATTCCGACCTGAATATTGCAGGGGATGTGCAAGGGCTCACGGGCTAAGCCAAGCTTGAGGCTACCAACTATAACGAAGCCACTCTATCCGGGTCATCCAAATCCCGAAACCAACCTGCTCTTCTCACCCCTAACCCCAAAGACCCCTACACCAACAGCCCCAAGCTGAGTGCTGAACCCTCGTAGAAAAGGCTCTGACTCGTTTGTGACGGTGTACAACCCAGCCCTCAAACCATCGTCCCATGTCTCAGGCCCGTATGTAACAGCCTATAAACTCTCCTTTACACAACCCTTGAAGGAGTGCTATTCTGATTGTGAAGGCCTCCTACAGCCGAAACTTTAACACCCGAAAGCCCTACACCCTAACACCCTCCAAGCTCGGCTGCTTGTTGAGGATCAAAGGTCCGGCCTCTGCGCTGCCGGTGATGACTCCAGTCATCTCGACTTCGGCCACCATCTGCAGCAACACCTGGCTTTTACGAGGGCTTTGATTGGGCTGCGGTGGCGGGAGCTGCAGGGGGGTTGATATGGGGTGTTACAAGGGGTTTCTGGAGGCGGGTGGGGATGTACAGAGCATAGGGTGCGGGTTGAAAGCACATCAGAAGAATTCGGGTCCTGGAACACTTGGAGCGATCTGCAGATTGAAGATCAGGGCTTCAACGATTGGAACAAGCAACATAAGCCGATAAGCACGCGCCAATACGTAAGTATAAAGCCACTAGAGTCACTAGACCCCCAAACCCTACCCTGCGCTTGTTCTAGCGGATCGGGCATAGATGCAAAAACATGAAGCATGAAGGAGCATGATACTGATCTCCTGCTTGCCCCATAATCATCATCATCATCACCATCACCATCACCATCGTCATCCTTATCATCATCATCATCATCGTCATCGTCATCCTCCTCCTCCTCCTCACCATCATCATCATCCAGGTCAACTTGTTTCAAAGCCGCAGCGTATGTCGCGATTGCAGCTTTGATGACAACCCAAGCAAGGAACAGCACTCAGAAGATGAGTATCAATAACATTGCACTACGTTGCACTTCACCAGAAACATCCGTCGACACATAACCATCGCAGCAGTCGTGACATCATCCCTATGGGTTGTGCTTAGGACTTCGTCTGTACATAAATCTGGAATGCGGCCTGCAGAGAACCTTTCATGTTCTCAGCTGTATCCAACGCCTTTTGCCCGCCACGCACCCCGGTGCGTCCTCCCCGTGGAAGCACCGGTGGGTGCCATTAGGGCGGAAGATCCCGAAGGAGGTCTGCTTAGGAAGCCATGAAGCTACGAAAGCAAAAGACAAACTCTTGCAAAGACTAGTATTTCGTCACATCTCGAAAGCCTGTCTATGGCCCGAACGCCAGACTCTGAATCCTCAAAGCAGGAACGCTTTATCCGAAAGAACTCAACGCCCCAGAAGGCTCAAGGGCAGCAAAGCCACGATGATGCAGAATGGCGGGGCGCAAGAAACCTTCTTGATAGGATTCTGCGGAAACCTCATCGCAGCATTTCCGGAGGAACAATCTTCGACAATTCCATGGGCTGAGGGTCAACTTTCATAGACAAAGATGCAGGGGTTCCACGGATTGGTACGAACTGAAGGGCTTTTAGAGGTTGGGTCTCTGCTGCGAAGCCCACCCTCGAAGCCACGAGAACCCGCAAAGCAATCTTGTAACAACATAATATAGCGTATAGTCTTATAATTTATATGTACTTACACAAGTAAAAGTGTAAACATCTACTATACAATAGAATCTAATACAAGCCTATTATACTACTCCCGAAACGCAAAGCAGCTCAACTCTACAGGCTAAGATTGCAGGCCCTGCAGACGACGAAACTTCCCTTGAAGGGGGCCCGAGTATAGAACCCTACATAGTGCCCATTAAAGTGGATTCGGTTACAGAACCCTATATAGCACCCTTTAAAGGAGACCCTATTATAGAACCCCATCTAGTAACCTTTTAAGCGGACCCTATTACAGAACCGTATTTAGTACCCTTTAACTTTGCCGCCTTAAAACCAAAATATCAATACTATTCATATTAATCCCCTGAAGCTATATTTTCTCCAAGGAGCCTCCTCTCCGCGGACATGCCGCAGCTTCCCTCCGCAGTGGCCAAGGCATCGAAAGAGGCCCGGACCAAGCCTTCCACACCCACCTGTCTTTATTACTATTCTTCATCTTATTGTTGTTACGCATGCTAGCACTTTTATTATTATTGTTGTTGGCATTCATACTATAAGTAGTATTTTCATTGTTATGATTTTATGATTCTGATCCCGATTGCCAGGTTTTGAAACAAGGCTCCCTTAGGGGATCTGTAAGGGTCCCTTACGAGATCTGTAAGGGTCCTCTATGCCCACCCGTGGTATTCGGGTTTAGCAGTTTCGGGCTCAAGGGGTTTCCGGGAATAAGCAAGCTTAGGGTGTAGGGTTTATAGGGTTTAGAGTTTAGGGTTGGGTGGGGTTGGGGGCTTGGGTTTTTCTTCGTGGCCCTCAGAAGGAGGCTTGGTTCTATCGGGCTTTGGTCATTTATGCTGTCGGGGTTTAGATTCTTCGGTTGACGCCTAGCATACTGCTTGAGAGTGTAGGGATTGACTCACGCAACCTGCGCTGCTTCAAAACACTTCCAGAGCATGGTTAGCGATGTACTGCTTAAAGGTTTACGTATGGAAGGTTTGGGAAACCCTAAGCCGCCTAAGCCTCAAAGGCCCTGGAGACAGAAGAAGGAGGCCTCGGTGTCGCCGTTCGTCTTCAACTTGATGGTGAGCGTCGGTTCGAACTGGACGAGACCCTCCTCGGGCTCGGGCTCCGAGTTGAGGCTGCTCAAGTTGCGGGTGTTGGGGTTTCGGGCTTGGGCGCTGCGGCTTCAGATTTAGGGTTCATGTGGGTTTCGGGCTAAGGCTTCAGATTTTGGTGTGCTGGAGGATCCCGGAGTTCTACGAAGAGAAGTGTAGGGCTTGGGCCCGTCTCAGGAATCAAACGTCCGTGATTACAACCAGGAACTGTACCTGTTTCAGGGTCCTGCTTTTCGGTGAGAAACTACCATGGTATGGGTAAATTATATAAGCACAAGAAGTCCGTAGAAGATGCTATACATGGACACAACATCGGCCCGAATGCAAAAAGCGTGGTTAGCCTCGTCCGGACCTTTGTCAGAAGCCCGCTGGTCACCGATTCTTATCAAGCTGTACGACAACAAGAAGAAACACGAGCACAACAATCAAAGCGACAGCAACGGCAAGAACAAAAGCAACTCAACAGTGTAGCTACTCCTAGTCGTGGTAGGAGCACCATCGCTGCCACTAAATGAGAATAGAAGAGTGAACTAAAATAAAATCTTCCTGCCAAATTATGGATCGTTTCTGTTCCTGACAACAAAGAGAACTGTAAGTAAGCATCCTCAGGAGCAGGAGCACGACCTTGCCCAGTATAGAGGGTGTGCAGGCTCCTACAGAATGAATGAACTGATGTATAAAGCGTGATGGCGACATTCGTGTCGTCCATCATCTCATCCTAATACATGATCCCAACCTACCCCCCCCATCAACTCATCAACACTACATTCTGCGCCAGACAAGCCCCTCCCCTAAGCCCCAACACCTTGAGCCCTAAATCATACCCAAATGAATTGTATAANNCCCCCCCCCCCCCCCCCCCCTCAATGCATCAACACTATATTCTGCCCCGGGCAAGCCCCTACCCTAAGCCCCACTTCCCTGAGCCCGAAATCATAGCCCAATGAACTGTATAACCCCCTAACCTGAAACCTTAAACCCTGACCCCAAGCCCTACAATAGACCCTAAATCCCACGCATCGTCAGCCCAGCTGCCAAGGCAAGCTCCAAGTTGGATTCGCCTAAGTTCACAAGCGCATCCCCTTCCACACTAACCAGCGTACCCCTGCTCCTTCTCAACACGCCTATGGTTCAGTGTAGTTAAGTACAGTGGATAACCAGAGAGCCCCAAGATACAAAAGCGTGTAGAAGGACACTGCTGGGCCCAGTTGCAGGACCCCGCCGGAGCTTTGGACTTGGAGCCCTTCAAAGCTTTGCGTGACCTGGCAGCTACTGGGGCAGTTCGGAGGAGGTTGTAGGGGTATCGGGTTGAGGAGTGCATTAGAACCTAGTGTTAGAACGAGAGTTTATAACAGGGGTGCTGTTGTCTGCACTTTTGTGAATCCTAGGCGAATCCTAGGGACAGAGTCTAGTGGGCTATTCGGCTCAGGCCTGATTGACGAGATAAGTCTTAGAAAGGTCCGTCGGTTGAGGGTGGAGTTTGGGGTTCGGGAAGTTCGGGCGCGAACCCCCTACTCCCATGCTAGACAGGACATTTCCTGTCCGTCTCTGGATTTCTGAGTCCCAAGAAGGGCCTGAGGGAGCTTCCCGGATGCTTCCGCTGCTGTTGGAAAGGGTTGCCCGGCAGCTTGATCTTGCCGCTGCTGCTGGCGTCGCCCATCTCAAAGGAGCTGCTGGAGCTGGACGAGATACCAAAGCCCTGGCACACAGTGATGACCGAATGCAAGCGACCACGAGCACCATCACTACAGGCACGACAACGACGAGTGCGCCCGCGACTGCGGCTGCGACCGACAGTCGACGACTGCAACCACTACTTTGACTTTCACAACGGGCGGACAAGATAACCAAAGTGCTAAGCGTCCATGTGCTCAGTGTTTTCTGGTCCTTGGCAACATCGTCATAATGCTCAGCCTGTAGCCGCTAGTGCCAAACCCTTCAAAATCATGCTAGAGCGATGGGCTGCCCCTTCATGACGTATGGTCCTCACTAATCTCCACACGATGCTAGTACTGCTGGTGCAAGCCCCCGCCCAACCCCTGAAACCAAACAACCAACAACAAACCCAAAACTAAGAATGTGTTGGAGCAATTAGTGCCTTCGAATTCTACCCTTGCGCCCTTTGGTGCACATGGCCTGTGCGAAGTCGCCTGTGTGCTTGAACTTGCATTTCATAGAGAGGCCGGACAGGGAGGCGCTGACATCACTTCCCGCGTCGCAATCGCACACATCACCGATCAGCAAATTGCACCTTGACATGCAGCAAAAAGGTCCAGAATCTTCTACAACAATAACATACTGTAGTGTATACCATAATATACTCACAACATATACTGCGATATACTATAATGGCTAGCTGAAGGGGTGGCCTGTCGCTTGATTGTAGAACAATCACCATGTGCGCGTATCTCGCCGTACATATACGTGTATATAGAGAAATGCACACACATACAGTACATGTCTACATATATATATATATATGGAGGTGCCTACAGGATCTTGGTAATGGTAATGCAAGGAACAGCAGCAACATTGGTGAAGACCCCACCACGAAAATACCAACACTCTTAGCTTGGAAAGGGACAGAGTGTCGGCAGTACTGCTCATGAAGGCAAGGTCAGCAGCAAGAGCAGGAGCAGCAGCGGCAGCAGCAACGACAGCCGCATGCAACTTCGAAGTCGCCCCAAGCCAACTGGCAGTGATCCTGCTGGCTTACATGACAATAGCAGCGCTGGGCGGTCAAAGCACAACAATAACGAAAGCAACAACGAACACCCAAGCCGCATTCAACACACTGCGCTTGATACTAATGCCCTTATAGCCCACCTTTTAGAAACCCGTAAAGTAACCCTCAGTGAAGCCCTTGATGATAACGCTCTCATAGTCCCCCTTATAGTAACCCTTAAAAAGCCTTACAGTACGGTACAGCATCGTGTAGTCCCCCTTATAGTAACCGTTAAACGAAGCCCGAAAAGTGACAGGACACAAGGTGAAGGATTGGGCGAGGCAGTTGATGAACTTCTTGATCTCGTCCCAAGCAGCTTTGGCAAGGCCGGCAGCCAAAGGCCCCAATTTGGCAATCTCGCCACCTTCGACCCAAAAAAAGAAAGAGACCTCAACGAACATATCACAACGCTCCGGGGTAGATTATGCTAATTCTGATAACATATATACGGACTGTCAAGTGAAACATGTGAGGGGTCAAAAAATACTAATTGTTCAGACCCTGTGCAAGGCATGTAAGAAGCCCAAATAATGGCAGGATCCTACGGCCTCCCACGTGCGCCGTTGTGTGGCTCATTCCCTCCTCAATTCAAGAGCAAGCCGGCCCCCAAAATCCTTTGTCTCAAACCTGTGCAACCCTAAACTGGCCCTAAACCCTAAACCCTAAGCCCCTGAGCCGACAAAACGCCCGACCAAGCCACCCAAGGCGGCTGCTTTACTGGCGATTTCGTTTCCCACCGTGCTGGCGAGTCTCACTCCCTGTGGCTGAAGGGGCTACTTCACAGGGTTTAGGGCCGGGTCTTATAGGGTCTACCCATGGGCTCCTTAGTAGCTTCTTTTTGTGATTGATGTTTAGGCTCCTATAAGGTAATCCAAAAAAGGAACTACTAAGGAGCCTATGGGTAACTACGAGTAGCATGAAGGTCGGGTGACTGCAAACTCCGTCAACGGAGGAGTATGTCGCAAATGATGTCGGCCTCGCCCATTGTGATTTGCGAGAGCTTCGGAACTGAGGCAAAAGAAAGCTCGGATGTTTGGGGATTGGGGCATAGTGAATCACGATGCAGGGTCTATGGGCACATGAGCCTTGGGATGCAGGCGTTGGAAAGACCGTAAAGGCGTGGGTTTTCTCAACCCTACTAAACCAGACTCCAAAACCCTAGAATCCCTAGAACCTAAACCATTGAATCCTAAACCCTAAACCATTTAACCCTAAACCCTAAGCCCAACACTTAGACGGCTCTACTTGGCTGCTGGCCTGCGCTACGGAGTGCTCGGCCGCATCGAGGGCATCCCCGGCCAAATCCACGGTGGCGTCGGCCACCACTTCCTTGAGGGCTTTTCATACAATCAATCATTCAATCAATCAATGAATCAATCAATCAATCAATATATATATATATCTTATATAAGTATATATCAATATATAGACATGCTACAATACAAGGGCTCTATTATTCTATGAGGGATCTTCAGGCTTAGGGATTTAGGGATTTTGGGATTAGAGGTCTTGGGCTTAGAGGAAAGGGCTTAGGGTTTCTTTGGATCTGAGGTTTAATCGTGAAGTCTTCGGGATTCCGAAGACCACATCGACATAAGGCTTTCGCACTTCTAGGCTTTTCTGGCATCCCCCGTTTGGGGGAGTGGTCTTTGTGCTTACCCCAAATTGAGGATACTGATGTTGAAGTCGGTTTCAGGATCAACTCAAGATGCCAAATGTCAGGATCCGCCATCGCTAAGCCAAGAGCCCAGCATGTGGTCTTAGATCGCAAATTAAGAATTTGGTGACCCTCTGTACGGTTTAAGGATTCAGGGCTCCAGGTTGTTACAGGGCTTAGGATTGATTTTGGGACTTCGGGGCTTGGAGAGCTTGGGGGCGCAGGGACCCCAGATGTCAGGCGAAGTGTTGTCCTCTTGGCCCCAAAATGTGCAGCTGAAGTTCGCGTTAGCGCTGAAAGTCCCTACCACGCGCATCCCTGTCTCGCAGGTGTATTTGCAGGCTCGTGGGCAGGTATAAGTCAATGCACATCGTCATTGGCAATAAAATACCGCCAAGGAAGTGGCGACAGTTTGCCAACACCCAAGGGATGTTGCACTGGTGCCCCTCGGAGCCTGATCTCTATGCCAACGAAGCTCCGAGCGCACTGGATTAAGCCTCAAAACCGAAATCCGGCGCAGTCTAAACCCTGCCAGCCCCAAAACCCCAATGAATCCTGCGTCCTGAAACCTAGACAAAATGGGGGAGGGGAGATTGATCTCTATATCATAGAGATTTGGGCTGAGGCATTACAGGGTCGAGGGTCCAGGGTTCAAGGTGGCTCGGAGGGTTTGGGGGGTGGGCTACGGCTAGGGGTGTCCTCGGTGCTTCAACCGCCCAGTTCCATAACATGTGCTTCGTTGAACTTTAAAGTGTAGCGAGCCCAGAAACACCGCAACAGCACAACCATACCAACAAGTAAATAAATAAATAAAAATTGTATGTATGTGTGTATATATATATATATTTATTTATTTATATTATAATTATGTTTATATATATATATACACATGTATAGATATCATATACACATATATATGTATGTAAATTCATGTATTTATGTACTTGCTTATCTACAAATTTATCTTTTCATATGATTGTTGATCTCTCTCTCTCTCTCTCTCTCTCTCTCCCTCTCTCTCTCTGACACACACACACACACTCTCCAAATCGCCCCCAAAGCCTCGTAGTTAGCCCTTCCTCAAGAAGCAAACATCGGCTTTGAGTGGCATATCCCCTCAAAACCCCGACGGATCCCGAAGACTCCCAATTCCCAAATCACTACACATCCCTAAAAGCCCTAAAGACCTAAACCCTTTAAATCTCGATTCCCCAAACCCTCAACCCTGTAAATCTCGATCCCCTAAACCCTAAAGCCTAAAGCCTCAAGGCTGAGCGTCGCCGACGTCAGCAACAGCACCTCCGGCAGCCACGGCGGCGTCTCCAAGTGTGGAAGCTGCATCCTGGAAGAGCTCTCAAGGAGGAGATTTAGGGTTTAGGGTTTTTGGTTTAGGTTTAGGGTTTTGGGTTCTTGGTTTAGGGTTTTCTTAACATGATTATTGATACTCCTGTTGTTCTTAATATTTTTGTAATGCTGTTGTTGTTGGGTTTCGCTTCTGAGAGTGCTGAATTCTGCTCCTATTTTCTGAGCTCCAGCTGAAACTTTATCATTCGCATGGTTTCCGGTCGTTGCATAGCGGCTGAAACCAGGTTCCATGAAACGTCGATAAGCTTCTTAAGAGTCAGGATTAAGGAGTCCTGGGCTGCATGTTTCGGGCCCTTTGCCGTTTGACAGCAGTTGCAGGAGATCCTCACGCAGAAACCCTAAACTCCTAAACCCCTAAACCCTAAACCCCTAAACCCGGGAGGTTTGTTTAGAGCAAGTCGAGTCCCGTCTCGGTGCTCGAAGCTTTCGAGTCAACTTACACCAGGAGTTCAGGCACAGTAGTCGGTCCACAAAGTGTGAGGGACAGGAGAACGCCCGTGGCCCAACATCCTAAACCCCGAAGAAGAAGATCTAAACCCCAAACTGCAGTCATGGTCACTCTGGCATGATACTTGGGGCTGTTGAAGGTATGGGGACGCTACGATCAGCCCAAAAGCAGGTACATGAAAGGATTGAATCTCGCACCTTTTAATTGAATCGGCAACCGACACACCACGGACTGAATGGCGAAACAGAGTTTTACAGGACTAGAATTAGGCGGTTCGCGATATTGCGTGCTTGGTTGCCGATGCAGTTTTCGCAGTTTCCGATTCAATTGCTTGAGACTTAAGTGCGGCTCGCCGCTGTTACCGGTTATATCGCTTTGGTGTGCGCTTCAAGTTCGAGACTGCAGATTTGCAATCACTGGTTCATGGACATCGATTTGTGCGCATTTCTTCAGTTGATATTGTTCGGGATGCCGCGGGCACGAGATGACACGAAGACAGGGTAGGCTTCGGAAATGTCATAGCTTGCCACTTCCCGCTGGGATTGGCTGCTGTCAGGAGCAACCTATGTACTCAACTCCAGTATATGACAACCGATGCCCAAGGGCTTTGATTCCCCGATGCTGTCCTTGATTTCGTTAGGCAGTGCATCGATGGAGGTCTCGGCAGCCTCTACGATAGAGTTGCCGACAATGACAGCGGCGTTCCCCACATAGTCTCCCACGGTCAAGCCCACATCGGCGATGCCTGCTCGCTGCCACTTCAACCAGAAAACCGCTTAGACCTTGCCTACACGTTGAAGCGTAACAAAAACATTGTAGGTGTAGGGCTCTACCAGAACCGCTTCGAAAGCTAGCCTCATGCAAAGCAATCCCGGGGTAGCCTGACATAGTTTGAGGATGCTGGAATTTGAGGGGTTCATCGTTGAATGTTTGCATGGGGTCTAAGGTCGAAGTCTTAGGATTCCAGAGCTCAGGGGGATCCTCACCACATGTCCGCGTAAGGCCTGCTTGAGACTCTTGTCAACGGCTGGAGGAGGATGAAACCGAACAGAAAACAGGCGGGGCATAGCAAGCACGGTTAATCACAGCACAAAGCTCTGACTACATGCGGAAGACAATCAGCAGCTTGAGAAACACGTTCCCATGCATGGTGGCCTATGCGACGGCGGACAACCTGTCAGTTTGAGCAAATCATAAGCTCCTGCGAGCATGCTGTGTCCAGGAAACAATGCCGGTTTGTGGGCGGAGGAATTCGTCGCTGCTGAGGAAAATTCATAAAGTCATCCGTGCGCTGGTCATATCAACCCTAAACCCTGTACCCGGGCCTTAATACTTAGCTAGAATAGGGTGTTGGGGCCCATTATACTATAAATATAATAAGGTACGAATATGGGGGCCTTAATAATTAGAATAGGGTTTTGGGGCCCATTATACTACAGTATAGCAAATTTTGGGGGACCTTAACAATTAGAATAGGGTTTATATGGCCTTTAAAGGTTTTGGGTGTACCTATAGTTTCCACTGTAGCTCCTTTTGTTGGTTTGACCAATTCTATATTCAGGGTCCTAAAAGGTAAACCCAAAAAGGAACTACAATGGAGACTATAGGTATACTATAAATATAAAAAAGTGTCAAATATTTAGGCCCCTACATTTAGACCCTAAGCCCTCAACCCAGACAAGCCTGAGCCAATGTCCCCTGCAATGTCGGCGGCGGACCCTGCCGCATCAGCGATGCCGTTCCCGACGGATTCAAAACCTCGAGTGATGTGAGGTCTACCCTTCAGCTAAGTCAATGACATAAATCCTTATGAAACAGATATCCTGTCGAAACAACCTAAACAAGCTTGCTAAAGCCCTCTAAGTCCTTACAGCTTTGTGGTCGGAGGCTTGCAATTTCAGGCTTTGGGAACGAGCTTCTGGGGTGCTCGGAGTGGAAATATTTTCTGGCCCGACTTTCGGGAACAGTGTGTTCAGGGTTTGAGATTTGAGCTGAATGACCAACCAAAGGATCATCAACAACAACATCAGCATTATGCACGCCATCACCATCACCATATCTGTCACGGTGCTTACATCGGCTCTCCGACAGCTGCTTTGGATCTGGCGCGCTTCTTCACGGCCGCTCTTCTAAAGCAGCCTCGACACCACGCACTCCCGATGCGACGAGGACCAGGACATGGTCGGGAAGTCCTAAACCCTAAACGGGTGGCGACGGCTGGCTCTCGACCAAAGTGTGCGCGCGGCGCGAACACGGGACAACGATCCATGCCTGCGGATGTGTTCCTGGCGAGGAAGCCCCATAGCTGAGATTAACAGCTTCGTTTTTTTTTGAACTTACGTTTTCTGACTTCTTGCTCCCTGGACATACCTATAGGCCTGCCATGCCGTAACCATAAGCGAGCTGTAGCGATGACGACTGGTTGACTCTCTTTCAAGTCACGGCACCCATGTTGTTCACCATCATCATCATCGTCATCATCTTCAATGTTTCAGAAGATCAACAGTGGAATGCTGTACAACAATCTTCGACTACAACAAGCGCCAGAATCAACCCTGGCACAGATGGGCCTCCGGAGCTACTGCGTGCAGGCTGGAAGCCATCTGCGACTGCACCAAATACTTTCGAAGACACCGCGCTGTCCAGGACCTTCACCAGGCAGGGTTTCGAGAAGCGGCTATCGGGGAGATACCAGGAAGCCTTTGGGCTTGGGATTCTTGGGATCTTAAAAGGTTAAGGGCTACGGAGAAGTTGCCGGGCATCTGAGAATCGCTTCAGTAACCGACGAGTCTGGTGACTCGCATTCATAGAGCACTTCGGCACTTCTGTGTCTGCGCGGCGGTCTCTTTCGGCCGAGACTTAAGGAGCTTCACTGAGACAGGCACTCCAAGCCCCAAAGAGATGAAGGTTCACAAGTAGCGCGATATATAAACGTAACCCTACTTTTAAAAGGGGGCTTGTAAGCAGAGATATAGCATCGTCAGCAGGCATCTGCAAAAAAGGGGCCTGAACGCCGTCGGCTGATCCCGATCCAGCTCGTTGGGAGGCGCGAGCAAGCAACGCAGCATGCGACTCCTTGGCATCAGCGACCCGCACCAAGATTCATGATACTGCCAGGGCATTATACTCGCTGATCTCAGTTCCTACAAAGTGCCCAGTGATGATGATCAAACCAGAAAGAAGCACAAAGATCACAGAAGTGTCACCAGCAAACAGAATCTACCTAGCATCTGCAGCCCTGAATCCCTGAAGCCTGCAAGACCAAAACTATACTCTAACTCCCGCTCAAAGCCTCCGTAAGATCCGTCTAAGGGAGCACCGCAAACCAGTCCCCAAAAATGACAACAACATTCCGCGAAAGACCCCAGATCATTCTAGAAGTATAGTAGATTAGAGATAAGAACAATCGCAAACAACATGAATAACATAGACAGTACCGCAATAGTGATACAGCCCCAAAAGCCTGCTCTAACTCACGCTTTACATCATAAAACCTGTATTAGAGCCCCTCTAAGACCCTCCAATACCCCGGTGCTACCCAAAAAGTCCAGGATTTCAGCACCTAACTTATAGGCATCTCGCCCCCTATGAGTAAACGCATATTACCGTATTGGTACTTAGATCCCGGAACCCGTCTAAACCCAAACCCTAAGCCCTGTAAACCCTAGAAGCCCTCAAGATCCCCCCCCTAATTGCCTAAACCCCAATCCCAAACCCTTTCAACCCTAGAAGCCCTATAGAA